TACTGAAACTGCTTTTTAATTATCTCCAGCAAAACTTTGTGTGTGGTATTAATGATATTGTTTGATAACTTTTTCCCTTTTTCTTTGGAATGAGCACAAATATGGATCTCTTCCAGTCAGCTGAGCAGGTAACTGTCTTACTAATTTCTTGGCATAGACTAGTGAGTGCTTCCGGGGTTGCATCCACTGGTTAAAACCTTTCAGTTGGTAGTCTGTCAATGCCTAGAGCGTTGTTTCTCCCCAGTGCCTTCGGTGCAGCTTGGGCTTCTTCCTTCAGTACCAGTGGTTCTTGAACATATGCAGACTGCTGAGATTTTTCAATGTTGACCAATTCTCTCAGGGACAAGGATGCTGTATATTTCTTCCATCTTTGTTTGATGCTTACTGAATCATTCAATAGGCTGTCCATAGAATTCTTCAATATTAGAACTTTAAACTTGAATTTTTTATTCCGTTCTCTCAGCTTGAGAGATGCAAGCATTCTTTGAGATGTCTTGCACCACACTCACCACCACTGGGTCTGCTTCACGCCATAGCAACCTTGTCAGACAGAGTAGAACGGCTCCATAGCAATTGCAACGCTGTCGATCTTTACAGAAAGAGACGGCTTCATCTTTCTCCTGTGGAGAGGCTATTGGAATGGGCACAAATGTGGGCACAATGCTTAATCTACTGTGAAGCCAGCCTCCTTATTAAAAAAGAAAACACCTCGTTGCCATCCAGTCAATGCCAACTCATAGCAACCCTACCGGACAGGAGAGGACTGCTCCCTGTCAGTTTCCGAGACCGTAACTCTTCATGGGAGTAGAAAGCCTCATCTTCTCCCAAGGAGTAGCTGGTGGTTTCAAACTGCTGACCTTGCAGTTAGCAGCCCAATGTGTAACCAGTACACCACCAAGGCCCCTATAGGTGCCTCTTCATCTGCACAACTACAATTAGCTTCCAACGTTTTCCTCACCAACGTCTTAAGTGTTTGGCATTATCTGCAAGTCACCCTCGCCAGAAATCTAGGAGCCATCCTCTACTCCTTCCTACCCTTCACTGACCAGTTGACTCCACCTCCTGAACAGTTCACCACTGGATTGCGGCAACAACTCCCCACTCTGCCTTCTGCAGCTTTCCTTCCAATCGATGGCGATACTCAGGAGTGAGAGGTCGCCCTTGCAGTGGCCAAAGCCACTCCTGTTGAGTCCATTCCGACTCATAGCAGCCCCCTGAGAGTCAGAGTAGAACTGCACCGCATGGGGCTTTCAATAGCTGTAATCTTAACAAAGCAGACCGACCACCAGGCCTTTCTTCTGCAGCACTGCTGGATGGATTCAAGCCTGTCCGTTGTCCAGCACATGCTGTTTCCTCCACCAGGGACCTTTATGGTGGGTGTTGCTGTTGTTGTTTGGTGTGATAGAGTCAATGTCAATTCATAGCAACCCCACGTGACAATGTAGAACTGTCCCCGTAGGATTGGGTTGGGTTTTAAGGGAGGCTGTCTATCGTCTTTGCAGGATCAGCTCACAAGCTCTTTCTCCTTCGCTGCTGCTGAGTGGGTTTGAACTGCCAGCCAAAAGGTTGGCAACTGAGTGTTGAGCCATCAGGGTCTAAACAGTTGCTACTGCTAAGTATTTGCCTCCTGGCACCAAAACAGAATGGAAGGAAGGGTGGTCCTCATATTTCTTAATGCTTATTCTATGGCCAACACTTGATCTAAAACAAATTTCTTGGATGGTTTCTATGGAGAGCAATTAGTGATCTAATTGGCAATGTCTTCAACAACAGTCCTCTGATATATACTACAAATATTTATGGAGCACTTACCATACACCATACACAAATATTGATGGAACACTGTGCTCATTCCTGGAGATAAAGTGGTAAATGTGGTAACTTTTTATCTAGTCTTATGGTTACAACCACATATTTTGCACAATGTTAAACGGAACCCTCTGAAGACAACTTGGTGGAGAAGGGCTTGTTTCCCAAGCCATCCCTGCCTGCTGGTAAACCTGGGTCGTAACAACCGTCACTCAGTGTTGCCCAGTGCTCTTGTCTTGTCTTTTCCCAGGCCTGTCCCCAGTGCATGAGTTCAAGGGCTTCTGGCCTCTCTTTTAAACTCCAGCTCCCACTACCACCATACACTACCACCATACTACACTCATAAAATATTTCAACAGGATTGTCTCTCATATGCTGAGAAACAATGCTTTTAACTACCACATGGAATCTGTCCATTTTCAGCCTCACTTGCTCCAGCTTCCTGCAGAGAGCTGCTGTTAACTCATTTCATCCTTCTTCCCCTCTCCCCTGCCACCGCCCCCCCTCCCCCCCACACACACACATCCATGCCTGGCAAAACCTGTTATAGTTATTAGTGGTACAGTAGAGATGTGGTGCCAAGGCTGCCAGAGTGCAGAGTGTGGGTGTGGTAGTTACATAATCTGCTGTCAATTTGAGACTTGAGTGAAGTTTAGGTGGAGTTTAGGCTGTTAATCAGTCATAGCTTGATGACCTCATTTGGAGGCGCTAAGATAAATAGCTTCCTGGAGGTGGGACACTCCCTGCCTGGGAGACATTCCTGTTGAGAAGACACATGGAGCTACACTAGAGCCCTGGGGCTGAAGGAGCCACATGGAGACCCCTGCCAGCGCTGAGATGCTTCCACTGACACTGTATCCATAAGACTTTCCACCCACTAGCCTGTGAGCTTTCTGCATTCATCATTGAATGTGTTGTGTGAGTCTGAAGAGGAATTTATAGATTGGTATCGGACATATGGGCTAATATCCGACTTAGGGACTTGATCTGGACTGGGCTGGGATGTTTTCTCAATATTCAATTGCTCTTATGTATAAAGTTCTTTCTTATACACATATGAATGTGTTTCTCTGCTCTACTTGGACTAACACAGTGGGTGAGAGTTGCCCAGTCCATGATTGCCGAATACATTGGCACCCAGATGTCAACATTACAGTGCTGCGACAGGGTGCGAAAATGCCCAGGCAGTTGAATCTGCTGAATTTCTAGGGCTCTTCACGCTAAGAAACACCCTGGGTGCAGCAACGGTTTGCATTTTACTAGTAACCTAACCCAACCAGCAGAAGGCCTGGTGCTCTTCTTCCAGCCAAGAAAAGCTCTGCGGAGCTCAGTTCCATTCTGAGCCCCGAGGTCACCATGGGCCAGAACTGACCTAGGCCACATTGGGTTTGGGGCTGGTATTCAGTTTCTTACGCTGAAGCTGTACCAAGGTCTTACAGAATGGTTGGCTCTTTCCAACCTTTGGGGCCACATTTGGATACACAGAGGGGCTTCAAGAAGTTCATAGAAAAAGGGAATGACAAGATAATGAACATTTTCCATGAACTTTTGGAAGTCCCGTTATCCACGTTATGAAGCAGCGTTGCCTAGTGCTCTTGAAAGTTTACTGGGACCATGATAAAACAGCGTTCCACATCTAATGACATCAGGACACAAAACAAGACTCCAAAAAGTGAGTCCCTAATAAGTGAATCCATGGCCTGGGCTGGGGGAAAGCTCTGACAACACATAGTGGGTCAAAATTATCCTCCTCCCAGCCCCTCCCCCCACGCACACACTCTGGAACATTCAGAAACTTCTAGCTTGTGAAGTAGGGTAGAATCAAGTTAGGAGCCATACATATGTTACATCACATGTGGTCCTGTTTGTTCCCAAGGATCGAGTTTTAAATTATTTTTTAAATGGTTAGATGGCATATATTCACAAATATCTCCTTTCGCAGTCTTTGCCTAGAGACAGACACAGTGCAGGTCTTCTTGTAGAAAGCTGGAGGAGAAGCTTCGAGCAGCTATTCTCTGGAGAAACCAGACTGGCAGATAGTGAGAATGGCATTCTTCCAGGCAATTGAAGTGCATGGATCACTGGGGCATGGGAAGGCAAGTCTGTCATGAGCAGCGCGATCAATAATTACTTAACGCTCTTAGACATTTTTGAATGCTCGGTTTATTCACTGCAAACACACATCAAACAATCTAAAATATTACTCAAACTACTAAGGGCAAACAACTATAAGCATAAAGGCAGAATAACAACTATGAGTGTAAAGGCATAATAACAACACTTCTCACACATTTCATATTAGCACCTTAGTGCCAATCAGCATTGCCTCATCGGTGTACTCACCCCAGGTAGAATTGGAGAGAGTGTCTCTACCTGGGTTTAAATGGACATTTTGGCCAGTTCTTTGACGTTCTCACTGTCCCAGTCAAGTCTTATCAGTTTTCTTCAGGCTTTAGGTGGCTTGGCTAATTTTTGGGCTTCGGCCAGGTCTCAGCTCAGTCTTATCAGGGGTCTCACATTTTTGTGGTGGCTTCTTTGATGTAAGTGTTGGCCTGGGCCCCAATATTACATTTTATATATATATATATATATATTTAAGTGGAGTTTCTTATGCTTGTTTATTTGATGTGGCTCAACGTTTTGCGAGGTAGTTCAATGTCTTGTAAGGTAGCTCAACATCTTGCAAGGAAGTTTTATGGTGCTCTCATCAAAGTCCAGTCCCACCCCCATCCCCACCCCCTGCGATGATTAAATGTTGAGACCTACATGGGGGACAGTCAATGAATACCAGCGCCCAGGACCAAGGTTCGCAAACGATTCCGTTCTAAGTAGTTCATCTTGGGTCATCCTCCCTTCCAGGACCACAAGAAAGTCTTCTGCAGTCGCTACACTCAAGAGTCCTTTCAACCACCTTTCAATCATGTCTTTTCGCTCCTCCCTATGTGGGCATAGCCAAATGGCTAGTTCCAGCGATGGGAAGTCCCTGCGCTCCTAGCCGGGCTCTGACACTTGGCACTGGCTGGCCTTGCAAGCCTGGAGGCGTGAGTCTGCGGAGGCGGAGGCGTAGGAAGCCCCGCCCCGTGAGGGCCCCGTCGCGCATTGCTTTGTGGGAGTTGTAGTTCTACCTCGGAGCGCCGCACGGGGCGCCTAGGCGGGACGCGTTTCCCAGTGCTCCTCTGCGTGAGTCCTGTTGGGACAGGTCACTGGGCGGGTGAGTAAGTGGGTGGGAGCTTGCTCAAGCAAAAGAAGACTCCGCTTCGGCTGTTAGTAGAGCGCCTGCGACAGGGGAGCTACTACTGTCCTCAAGAGCTGCAGGCCAGCCAGGTTCAAGTTGAAGGTTCTCTGGCCGGGAGGTGACGTCCGGAGGCCAGGCTGCAGTGGGAGCGACCATTGCAGACCCCGGATAACCCCACCACCACCACCCCCGCCCCGCGGGGCTCCAGTGGAAAGGGCTTCGCTGCTACCACCTCTCCTTTCCTCGGGCTCCCACACGGGAGTCCCCCTCCACACTTGGGGTCACAGCAATCTCCAGTTTGGGGGCTGGATGTTCGCGTCCTGTCTGTCCCTGAGAACTTGAGGGTGATCGCTGAGCCCCGACGTGCGTGCAAGGGCTGCCGGGGTTGTGACCACCATGATCCCGGGTGTCTTCGGCTTTCGCCGGTGGGCCCCGGTGGGCGTCCTGACCTCGCTGGCGTACTGCCTCCACCAGCGGAGGGTGGCCCTGGCCCAGGTGCAGGAGGAGACCGCCCGGCGCCCCGTCGATCGCAAGCTGCTGGAGCTGAAAATGGTGCAGGTGGTATTCCGACACGGAGCTCGGAGTCCGCTCAAGCAGCTCCCGCAGGAGGAGCAGGTGAGAGAGAGGTCAGCCGGTGTCAGGGCAGGTCAGGCGAGGTTCCAGTGACTGGTCTCGGGGATCTGG